GTATACAAAGAAATATATACTGCATTCAAGTAAATGTTACGTATTTCAGGTAGATCGTAAGAGTATATATCCACAAATCAATCATGAGAGTTTATCATAAACATGAAATTAATTCAGAATAAATTCTGAATTAATTCTGAATCCTGTAAGTTTAGTATTTCAACCAAAAGAGAGAAAGAGAGAGAGAGAGAGAGAGAGAGAGAGAAAAACTATTAAATTAAAACAAAAATTAAGTTTGCTTATTGCATAGAAAGTCGAACCAAATTATATATTTTCTTCCGGTACAATTTTATAATTTTGTAGAGAAAATAAATTCTTCTTTCGAGTATATGATAATGTGCTTTTTTAAAATATGTCATGAATATATTTTACAAAATTGTTATTAAAAAAGTCCTTATTGAACATGGAAGAAAAATTTGATTAGATGAAGCAATTTCTGATGAAATATAAACAATTCAGACATTTCTAGATAGAGGTTGAAGTTATTAGATAGAGGTTAATAGAATTTAATCTACATTATCGAGATTTCTGGTCAACTTAAACATAATTCTAAGTAGGAGTAAGATCCTATCTCCGCCTCTCGCTTTACAGATTTCTGAAGTATCCCGGATTTGAGAGCAGGAAATCTGATCGCTTTAATATCGACACTTGAGAGAGTGGATTCTCTTGACACCGTGAGCGCGAAATAAATCCGGCCGATGCTGGGGCCATCGATCACCGAAGGTGACAACACCGGCGGCGATGTCGCGGCGTCTTTCCGAAACACTTAGACACGGGCGCAATTTTAATCGCCATCAAATTCCCGGCGGCTCCAATTGGCGCGCTCCGCCGGAGCGACGTCGTGTAATTACTCGCTGCTCCATATACCGCTCGCGCCTCTCGTCGTGCGGGACCGAAACGCGCGGATCGTTCAATAATAAATCGCCAATAACTCCGTTCCAGTTCCGTCAAGATGACCCAAATAATACGCTTTTCGGCCGTCGCGGGGCAATAATCGGTGACAATTATGACAGCGTGTGGGTAGCGCAATGGGGGTCATTGGGCCGCGAAAGAGGTGAAAAAAAGGAAGGGGAGAAGGGAGGGCAAGAAAAAAAAGTCGGCATGAGGGAGCGGTACGTTTTCTGGATAATGACCCACGCGCGCCCGGACGCATCTCTCGCATGAGGAACGGATAATTGAAGTGGGTGCAACGTGATTAATTAACGTTCCGCGCGCGGCCGGCCCGCACGACCGACCGGCTTTTATATCTCGCTGATCGCTCGCGTTGGCTTGACGTTTCGTATCGCCGTGAAACTGATTAATTAAGTAACAACTGTTCGGATCATCGACGAACCTTCATTGCGTCTCGGAAGCGCGGCAGTATCGCGCGTAAGACTTCGGTGCTGCCGACGCCGCCGCCGCCAGGGAGAAAGTTTAGTCTTTCGCAAAGAGGAAAAACGCCGCGCGGGGAACGTCGATTTCTTTCGCAATAAATTTTCCACGCGAGACGCGCCGGTCCCGTACGGCCACCATGTTATTACCGCGCTAAATTGCGACTCGTCGCGTAACGTCGATAGCGTAACGCTTAACGCTCCCGTTCCCGTTTAATTGCCGCGCCGAATGTCACGTAATCGTGCTTAATTAACCTTACAAAAACGCGCGGCGTTTACCCGGTCGTTGTCGCCCCGCTCTTATTCCGCTGTTACTCGGCCACCGCATGTTCATGCACGCATTTGCGGATATTAATACGTAATTAATAATTAGCCATCGCCGTGCAGCGTGCACTTTCCCTTTGCGATATGCGTGTCTAATTCCTACAAAAATGCAATTTACATGTAACGAATATTTTTTCAAAATATTTTGTGTAATGTCGTGTGCAGATAATTAGCTTTCTGGACTTAATGAAATTTCGATTGCAAACAAATTGAAATTAATTTCCTCGCATGCAACTAATTAATATTGAATGAAAAAAATTTATGCGGACGTATCGATGCCCTATCAGTTTAATCGGAGCTCGATAGCTTTCTGATTGATGAAAATTTATTGTTATTATTAAAGTTCTATTAGTAATAATGATAAATCTATTATTATTATTAAAGTTTAATTTATTCGGCGACAAATCTCAAATATGCAAATCATAAGAAAAATAATATTACAATATCTATATATCTATATTAAAAGAAAAATTATTTATTCAGTAGATACTACTTAAATCTAAATCTTTTTGTTTAAGCAGAATAAACAATTATCCTTAAGAAAAGCAACGGAGTTTTAGAAAAATATATATTTTCTCATTTGAAAGAAATTTTTTCTCAATGCAAAAATATGTATATATATATTAGTAAATATGTTATCAGTACCCTTTTAATAAATATCTCTTATTTTTTAAATATTTTTTCTTTTAATATATTTATTTATGAATACACATATCTATAACGCAATATGGAAAACGAATCGAAAACTGGAAAACTCTAAGTAGTCTTAGATGAGGGTACTTTAGAGACAGGCAACAAACTAGATTTTAGAGACAGGCAACAAACCAGACTTTAGAGACAGGCAACAAACTAGACTTTAAATAGTTTGAGAAACTATGTAAAATAATGATTAATTATATAAGATAATTATTAAATAAGAAGGTTCAAAAATTCAAAAGATGTTCAAGAAATCGCGCAATGTCAGTGATCGGAAACGCTTCAAGAAAACATCAAGAAAGTCGAGACCACAATGCGTCTCACCGACAGTCTATTATCAAAGAACGGAAGCGAGCATTCGCGGACACGTCGCCGCGATATCGATTGATAAGAAGGGACATCGGTATGCACTTAGTAACACACCGATTCAAGTTTCACTCGTTCACGGTGTTAATCGACTTTCCGTTATACGTTCCACCAGATGGTAGGTGTACGGATGGTAGTCTAATTGCGGAACTTGCCTGAGAAGGCGGTCTCCGCGTCTCTAAATTAATGGCCATGATCGGATCGGTCCATTAAACAGCGCTGGTAAAATACCGCCGATTAACTAGACAGCAAACGTCGAAAGGGAGATAGCTGCTGCCGTTACACGGACTTGGAAGTATTTCAATTTACGCGCCGCGCTCAGTCGGTTACAAAGGTTCCGGAGAAACACGCCGCGGAACCCCGGCAGGCGGCGCCATGAGATTAGACGGTCGACTCACCGATCACAAAAAGTCGGGAAGCCCGGTCAAGAGATTGTGTGTTCTAACAGTGCCTGCTTTCGATTCTTTTACGAATTTTATATGATTGAAAGGTTCTCAAATATATAAATATATATTTCTCTTGAAAGAAAAGCATGCTATAAATAAAGGAGGAACATGTGCCATATAGATATGCGAAGAAGAAAATCTGTTACCGAGTGAGTAGCGAAAGATTAGATCCGTTGGTAATACAGCGACCTGTTGAAGTTATTTCTACTCACTAAGCGCTATGGGTAATGCGGAGTTCTTTCAGGATAGCTTTGAGAAAATCTTCTGAAAAAATGTTTTGGTTAAAAGTTTAATGACAATTAACGTTCTTGAAAATAATCAAATTTTGCAATAATTTAATATTTTACAGAAGTAACTGATGGCGGTGGAGGTATTTTGCAAAATATCAAATTATTGCAAAATTTGATTACGCTATTTTCAAGAATGTTAATTATCATTAAACTTTTATTTGAAACATTTTTTTATTACAGTTTCGAAGATATTTCCCTCAAAACAAAATATGCCCAATTATCTTTCAGAAGGTGCCAAATTATGTACTCTATAAGTGTATTGATCAAATCGCCGAGTGACACAAAGATGGGTTTACTTATGAGTGCCTCACGTGAGATAAGTTTCAAGTAACGACTATTAATGCGGCCCATAAAACAACCAAATAATGTACAATCAATTGAGATAAAGAACTTATTATTAATGAGTATTAATAATAACTGGAATAAGGAGTTGGTTTGAGACGTGGAAAACTAATTCGCCGCGTATGACAGGTCGGGAGGAACCGATCACGTACGTTAGACACTGTTAAACAATATTATCCTCTCTTAGAGTAAATTTTATTTCGCAATAAACATCCGCGAGTGGCTGCTGCAGACCTTGCTTCTCTCACTTTAGTTAAATTTTATCAGGGCTTGTTTACATAACTCTCGATGAAATGCACGGCGTGCACTCTCGTCCTCTTCTTTTCCAAGAAACGCGTCACGAGTACACCTGGCCGCACACTACGGCGAAACGAGCCCCGGGACGAAAATTACACCGATCATATTTTTTCAACAAACGTCACGCGCGTCAGCCGCGCGCGGACGGCGCGCGTAAATCACGCGGAACCGCCTTCGAGGAACAGTGATAATTAATGCAAACGAATGAGCGGGAGTCTCTCATAAAGAGCACCGTCTCCCCGAGCACATTTGGCTTCCACGAATAATTAAGCGGCGAGAGATGAAACCGTCCAGGCGCGCGCGCGCGGAATTAAAATCCCGCCGTTGATTCTCTGGTTGCTTTTAATTCGCGCGGACATACCGCAGGAGCGAATGCTCGTATAGCGGAGGTTACCTCGAAGAATATCTTCATCGTCACGCGCCTCCTGCCGTTCTCCTCCGTGTGTTTCGCAGGGACACTCCCGACCTGACCATGTTAAGTCTACAGGTGCGTGCGCGAGAAATAATCATTTTGCCCTGCCACTTTTTCGTCATTGTCACGACTCTTTCCGCGCTGGCCCCTCATTTCGCATCGGCGAATAAATCGGAAAAGAACACTCGCGCTCGCACACGCATTCGGCAGAGGTATCCGCAACAGTCCGTCCGTTACAAAGGAGTCCTTTATTATCTTGGCGCTTATTGCAGCCACCTTTCGCGTCCTCGGGACGGAATTTCTTTCGCATCGGAGCATGACGGGCGGCTCAATGGGTCGCGAAAAAAGTGAAATCCTCTCTTAGAGGCGGGCGACTCAATTCCTCCCGGGACTCTCCTTTCGATTCCATTAACGATCCGCTATGGGACAATCAGCGCGCACGTTACGTGGTACTCACCATCGACGTGAAGTAAAACTTCTCGAATTCCCGCTCGTGAAGCCGCGCCGACGCCAAGCTCGTCGCTGTGTGATGTGCGTGCTTCGACAGGATGTCCTCGCCTTTTTTACAGAGCCACGATAATATCTGTAATTAAGAACAAATAGTGGCTCAAATACTGTGCATCGACTGAGTCTATTTCGCACATGAAATATTTTACGTCTAGTTAAAAATTAACAGTAGTTTCGTGCCCGTAAAAATTCTGCACTGAGAAAGAAAGAGAAAGTATTATTTATTGACAGTAATCTCTATAATTAAGAAATCTATATAGTTTTCTTTATATAGTTACACAATAAAATTACTATATATAGTTTATTAAATTATACACACATTAATTTTAACATTAATTTTACATACAAATAGATGTCACATACATAATTGCCCACGTTTTTTTGTCTGAGTATAAAAAATCATCTTTAATTATCTGTGACTGTTTTTGATAATCAAATTGTTGTAGAAGTATGGAAAAGTGTATTTTAGGCGGTATGTAAATTGAAGCCAAATGATTTCGATCGCGATATGGTCATCGTTTTCCCGACAGCACTTTCAAAGTTAAAAACGATCAAATAAAATGAGAAACCGTCAGTCATCAGTCGTGTTGCTTTTCTGCCTTTCGCCGGCGGTCGTTTCGGTTTTTCAATGAGCTGTCGAGTAAGTAGCAGACGAGACTTGATGCATATGAAATGACGCTTTAAAGTGCAACCGGTCCTGAAAAGGTCGGGGAGTTCTCCTTACGGCGGACGTAATAGTTACACACAAAAAAAGCATAATCTCATCCTCAGCGGAATCCTCTTGAATTCTACTCTCTAGAGTGAATCAGTAAAAATGTTACGGATTGAAGCAAAAGGAATATTTCTCCGATAACCAGTGAGTATTCGCTTTATTTTCAGTGAAAGTATTCTACTGCTTCGTCTTATATTTCATCGATTTTGATTAGTGGAAGTGAAATTTCAATGCAAAATACGGGTTCTTATACGTTTACACTCAACTTTCTGCAATCGTGACAATGAAATTAATAGCTCCTAAGCGCTTTGCGTGTAATGACACTGTGTTCGTAAAGAATAATAATGGGAAAAATCGCTGCTACCGTTAACTGATTCTTTCAGCGAGATCTTACCGATTGAAGTACTATACTTATAACTCAACCACCAATTCTAACAATGAACACTACCGACATAACCAGAGTAATTTTAATTCCCTCTAGTTTTTATGAAAAAGAACGTGATAATATTAATTTTTCTATACTCTCTTAAAGTGAATCAGTGAATAGTCATTGATATCAGTTATAATTATAGCACTGAGCAGTTTCAGTGCTGTACTTATAACTGCAAATCAGTATATATTCACTGCTTTCAATGTTATTTTACTGATTCACTTTAAGAGAGTATAGACTTCAGTTTGCCCACCAAAAAGCACAATATTTTTAGTATTAGATATATTTCGTCTTTTATTTACAGTACAAATCCTGCGTGTTCTTCAAAGAAATTTCTATTCCATTCTCTCTGCTTCTCTAAAAAACATTTTCCTCTTGATTTGAAAAGAAAAAAAATTAAAATAATATCCATTTGATTTCTGAATAATAGCATTCTGAACAATATCATCAGAAGAGGAATATCTGAATCAAAATTTTGATTCTACTTCACGGAGACCTACTCTTTAAAACCTACTCTTTAAAACTTACAAATGATATTTTGTGCCATTTTTCTGCCATTTAGAGGCGCTAAGTAGGATTACAGTTTCCATGTGTATTACACATACATTGATCTCTCAGAAAATATCTCACAGATTGCACAGAAAGATGCTAGAAAGTTCAAATTGAAAGGGCTGAAATGTCGACTTAGATACTCATTCAGTAAAAGTTTTCGTTTAGAATATGGGATTACAGAAAACAGCATAACATCGGTCGTCGAGAGATAGTCGGGGTAAAAAAATGGGGCTCTCTCGTGAGGACGAGACTCGGACTTTATCAGGTAGCTGTTAAAACGCGAATTCGTTCTCGGGAGGAATGGCGGAGACGCGGCTTCTGCCTACATTGTAAGAATGCCGCGGTATTTAGCACACTTGGACAGTGAATAATCGCCGCGCATCCGAATTCGCCGGATAATTAAGGCCCTCCGGCGCGGCTGTCTCTGACTTCGCAGCCACGCGAGAGAGTTATTTATGGCGGTCGCACGGTCGCAGAATCGCGCGCATTCCTGGACTATCGCCGAGGACACACTGCCGTCGTCGTCGCTTCGTTTAAATATCGCCGATCCACGCGCCCGTAACTAGAGTTCCTTTAGTCAGGAGTTAGAATGGGACAAAGCACGATGATTCCTGATTGGTGCGCATCCTACCCGCCATCTTTACGAATGACGTGGCGGGAGTGAAAGAGAAACTCTAGTAGAAGTGAGAGAACTGCTCTAAGACTGTGAAATGACGAAGCGCGCTATAGCTTCTCTATCACTCACTCATTCATTTCTTCCCTACAAATGGCGGACGGTATCCCAACTCTGACTTGAGGAACTCTATCCGCGACAATCCGTGCTCGGCGATCGAGACGACCCTCATCGTTACGATTAGAGCCACGTCTTACGCAATTCTCCCGTCGGAGAGGATCTCCCCCGACGTTCGACATTTCTCGTTACGCAATCGCGCACCGATCTTCATTATGACGTAACCGCGGTCGTACGACAGGAACGATTCGCTGATAACGATCGGGCCACGTCGAATGCGCGCTCTCGCTATTGCCACATTTCCCGTCATGCTCCAGAACTCTCAAACAAACGATGGACGTATTGCTTGGGGAATTATTGGCCGCGACTTATGATGGCTTGATGCTCGCTTGCCCGACGTATTAATCGTCCTTACGATCTAATAAGCGATGTCGCATCGCCGGACAGAAATGTAGCGGATAAAAATGCAACAACCAAAAAGAACACTCTACGTTCTACACTGAGAGAAGAGAAAGCAGTTGGATCGACAAAGCCGACGGTCAGCCGCCTTCGAAGAAATACAGATTACGCGTTAGTGCAACAATAAGTTGCGATAATATAGTTACCGACCAAATCACAACTATTGAATCAATTGATAACTCTCTCGTCACAACAACCATATAATTTGTTCAATCGATTATAATACAATCTATTTCGACGCTAAAGAAAGTGAAATTTCGGATATCATCAAAACCAAAGTAGGAGTAATCATCAAAATTAAACCTACTTTAGTAACTAACTTAGCTTCCACTTCATTATACATTGAGGGAAAAATTACCTTAAAATCAACAAATATTTCTTTGATGGGTATCATTAACATATTTATTTATATAAATCTAAATTCTCTTTATTTAAACCAAATATTGTTTACTTAAATCAGGTAAACAATATTTGACTTAAATAAAAAGAATTTAGATTGAAGTAAATATATTAATGGCACCCGTTAAAGAAATATTTGTTGATTTTAAGGCAATTTTTCCTTTAGTGTAGAATTCAAGGTTTAATATAGAGTCAAAATTTCGACTCGAAATATTTCCCTTTTGGTCTAAGGAGAATTTTCTTGAGATCGTATATGTAAGACTAAAATTTTCAAGACTCAAAGGATTCTGCTAAGGATAAGATTATGTGTTTTCGGGTGAATCATTCACTCGTAGTGATGATGTTTGCGGATACATTAACACCGGAGAGCCGTGTGTCCACGTGGATGTACACCAGAAGCGAGAAAGAAGAGGACCCCGCCTCTGTCGGTGAACCTCTTCCGAGGGGGCACGACTGGCGCCTGAGGAGAAATGGAAACCGCTTCGATCATAAGCAAACCGCGGCTTATTTGGGTCACTGGGCCGCGTTAGGTAGAGCCGGCGATCGAATGTCGTGCATACGTTTCTGTACAACAGCACGCGGGTCTCGCGAGTGTGTGTAAACCACTTGCGAGATGTGACGTGGGAGCGGGCGGCGAATTTCGCGTATCGACTTTGATCCCGCGCGAATAGCGTTCTATCTCACGCATAGATCTCGCATCCGTGAGGCACGCGCGCCGTCGCGATTTCTAGGCAAATACGCGAGGAACGGATATGCGGATGTACATTGTTGCGAATTGGAATGCTACTCGTGCCTCGCGCAGCACTCACGTCTCAGTGTCTCATTCAGCAAAATTTTTCGTGCAGTAACGAAAGAGAGTTAAAAGGGTCACTAATGGGAAAGAGAATCAAAGGAGAGTCCAAAAGAGAGAATCTTCAAAAAAATCCGTAATTCTCCAAAGAAATATTATAAAATATTGTGAAATTGTGAAATATAAAAATATGAAATTCAATGTCGGGCATCAATCAATTTAAATTTTTTAAGATAATTGGCAAATCGATAATTAAGGTAATTAATCGTCACGCATGAAATCGCAAATAATTTCATCGATTGGTGAAATTAATTGTTAATCAGTGTATAATCAATCATATAAAAGTTTGATTAATAATAAATTTCACCAAAGTTTGATTAATAGTAAATAATAATTAATTAAATCAATTTCATCGATCAATGAAATTATTAATTATTTTATATGCGTGACAATATTGATTAATTTTGATAAATTTTTGATCGATTTGCCGATTATTTTAGTCAAAGAAAATGTCGATCGACTAATTCGCACGCTCGATTAGAAGTTAAAAGTAATAAATGATAACTGCCTGTGGAATAAGCTGTTTGTTAAGTGGAATAACGATGACAAGGAGTTAGTCATTTTTTTGCGCACAGATACGCAAACACGTCAGACGGAGCATTGACATTTTTGCATCTCGTCGGCTTCGAACGTTGAGTTATCGATCGGTCGGGGCGGCAAACGTGGGAAACGAAAGTTAAATCACGCGCTAACTAATGTACACGCTCGCTCGCGCGAGCGCGCACATCGGCTATAAAAAGATTATAATATATCATCATCGGGGGGATTACATGCATTAAAGTCGCCGGCATTTAAAGCCGGGTGTACGAATATCTCATGCCCGACACGACCGAAGCGTGACGCTTAACCCAATTCCAAATTTTTCAGCACGCAGACCTCGCGATGCTACCGACGTACACGTCATTCAGCCGAGGCGTCGATTACAGAGAGATCCCGGCGATTAT